CACTTCCCTGGGGCTCTCCTCGCCCACAGGATCTGGAAGGGAAGGGGTGTTATGTGGGAACAGAAAGTGTAAGCATGTTTAGAGAAGGGGTCTCATGCTCTCCTCTCAACGCCTTTGCTCAGGTGGGGCCGCCATCTATACCTGTCAGCCCCAGGCTGGCCTCATGCTGTCTGCTCTGGGAAGTCCCCACTGACCCTGGCCCCATTCCCCATAGTCTGAGATGGTCTCTGAGCTTCCTCAGCTGCCATCCTTACCTCCCAGTTTCTCCTGATGCTCACAGCCCACTAGAATCGGTTTCCAGCTGCTAACTTTTCAGTCTTGGGTACACCAGAGCCAACCTCACCTCCCAGAGCTAGCTCTCCACTCACTTCAGGGGAGAAATGTGTGCTTATGGTAGGCACTAGCTGGTAGACAGTGGGAAGGTCTGGTCTGACTGCAGGGTGCAGGGCCCCACTGTCCTAGGCCTCAGGAGGTCATGCCCGTTTTTCCAGCCACATTTTTTATCAGGGGCTCATGGGGAAAAATTTATGGGTGATGAGGGCTTAGAGGCCAGGTTCTAGCTTCCCTGGGGAATCTCACTGCCTCTTTTTAGTGAGGAGCCCCAGAATCTGCTATCAACACTGGCCACCCTTGCCTCTGGGCTCCCAGTGGTGGTGCCACAGTCATCCCCAAGGCCGCCTTCTGTCCTTTGCTCTCTTTCCTGAGCCTGGTCCTGGTGACTGGACTTCCCCACTGCTCAAACGGCTAACCACATGTCTGTTGAACATGTTGCCACTGAGCTCGTCTAGGAGCAAGGAAATTTATAGGTGTCCCACCTCAAAGAGTTGCATTTTGATACTAAAACCCCAGGTCTCCATGTCATCTGCTCTTGGACACACACTTAGGGGTGGGGCTAGGGTCTTTGATCTGCCAACTGGGAGAACAGAAGAATCTCAGAACCCCTTGACCTAAATGTCAGACTGACAGCAAAAGGAGAGGCCATGGCTGTTGGGATGGAGCTCCCAAGAGGCTCGCCAGGTCCAGCTGGAATCCAGAGCTCAGGAGACTCCTGGGAAAATGCTCTCTGATAGGTCAGTCAGCTCAAGTAGGAGCAGGGATGCAACTGTGATCAAGGGGAAAGAAGCGGCTTTCTTAAACCAAGAGTTGTGGGGACAGGATTTGAGTCCTAGAGCCCAGAGTCAAGGGAGGAGGACAGGACAACTGCCCAGCACACCATCATCATCCCCACAGGGTCTGTGGCGGCGCCATTGCAGCTCCCTTGCCTTCCTTGCCTGGGATGGCGATTTGGCCGTATTTGTGCCACTTTACAAAGCAAAGATATTTAGAGTAGATGGAAAGAAGCACAGAAGTTGATTAGATGGGAAACTTAATAAACTGGTTTTTTTTTTTTTTTTTTTTTTTTTTTTTTTTTGTCAACTTGACACAGCTAAGGTTCATCTGAAAAGAGGAAAACCCCAGTTGAGAAAATGCTTCCATCAAACTAGACTGTAGAGGCATCTTCTTGATTAATGGTTGAGCAGGCCATGTGGATTGAGTCAGTAAACTGTTTCTCCATAGTATCTACTTTATTCCCTGACTATAGGCTCTTGTTTGAGCAACTTCCCTCAATGATGGAGAATGACTTGTGATGAAATAAACAAACCCTTTCCTCCCCAAGTTTTTAGTCATTGATACTGGGTGAGGTCTAAGTATTACAGGAAAACCAACACAGTTCCCCTACTTATAGAACTGACTTCCAGAGGTGTTACTCCTGCCCCAGGTCAAATGATTCCATCAGTAGCAAGCACTGTGGACAAACCGAAAGGAGGCTGACTTAGACTGGGCTTTAGTTAAAGTGTCTATTGATATGATAGACCCCATGATTTAAAGAGAGTCTATTTCAGCTTACACCTTACAGCACAGCCAATCATCAAAGAAGACAGGGCAAGAACTCAAAGCAGGAGTGGAAGCAGAGGCCACAGAGGAGAGCTGCTTACTGGCTTGCTCAGCCTGCTTTCTTATGGCACCCAGGACCTCCAGCCAAGGATTGGCACTGCCCACAGTGGACTGGGTCCTTTAACATCAATCATTTGAAAATACACCTTGGGCCCATCTGGTAGAGGCATTTTCTCAATTGAGGTTTCCTTTTCCCAAATGACTTTAGCCTGTGTCAACAGACATGAAGCTATCCAGTACAGTGACTGCAGATGTTTTCTGCCACATTTAGTGGAAACATGGTCAGCAAGAGACTTCTATCCTGGACAGGACCTGAACTCTGATGTGAGACAAACCAGTAGCTGTGATCACAGGTTTGTAAAAGTTAGTGAATAGAGTTTAAGTAGAACTGGAAAGAGGCAGAACGATCTTTCTTCCTGTGAAGAGCTTGTCCAATGTGTCCCACTCTCCCTTCAGGGCAATCACAGAGAGGAATGCCCCGACACTGGATTACAGGGCTCCCTGAAAAGATTTGGGGGGATCTGAGTGGGGCCAGCAGATCCAAGGCTCTGATCTCACCCACGCTGGTACTTGTGTTGGTTTGTCTTGCAACAGAACAGTGAGAACTTATTAACCAGAGTGTGGCTGTTGCAATGTGCTCTGGGCAGGACTCACTCCCACCCCACTCCCATCCCCCAAAGTAACCTGCCTTACCCTGCCTGGGGCATGGGGCTTCCTGCTGGAGGTGGGGGCTAAGGACTGGGGTCAGCTTTCGTGGAGTTTTCTGTGATGTTTCAGCCCACAGGTTCCTGCAGGCCTGTGCACTGATGTGTTTCACCCTGTGACCTTGTGTGCTTTGTCCCTCCCCATCATGGTAGGACACCCCACTTAGTAAAGCAGAGTTTGGGGACCCCTATGATGTGCAGGATGAGCAGGAGCCTGCCAAGTGGAGGCCTGGGCCTTAGCAGTGAAGACACTGGAACCTGAGTTGTCTTTGGAATCAATATCCTTGAGGTTTTGGCCTTGAGATTGCCAGTTTCCCCATCTAATAAGTGAGAAAGTAACAGTTTCCACCTGACAGGACAACGCAGGTCAGCTCCACACAGCACAGTTACACAGTATCTCCTGCCAAGGATCTCAAGGACCCCACCTTTGTGAGGACATGGATCCTGGGCAAAGCCCTCTGCTGTGGCCTGCAACACTTTCTCCAGGATTTCCTTCCACTCTTCAGGGGCACCAAAAGTTCTGGCGGGGCCTCACATTGGTGTCCTGAGCTGAAGGAGATGGCCTGACTGGATAGTCAGCATATTCCTGCTTGTCACAGGCCTGTTTCTCATCCCACAGGTCTGCTCTGGTCTCCTTCTAAAGTATTATTGTTTCCGGACTCTGTATCCAGGCTTTCTCCCAGCTGCAATCCAAGACTGTCCCCATCTATCTCCCATTATTGGCGCTCAGGCTTTTCCTCTTCTTTTCCCTCCCCTCTTTAAAGCAGGACAGTTGTTAGCTTCCCTGCTGCTTTGGGGTTAAGGGAAGTCTTAGTTCTGTGGAGGCCTCTCCCTGAACATACAAACCCACTGCCTCCCCCAGTTCCATTCTGTGTGTCTTGGGAAGGGGAGGGAGTACAGCTGGAAGCAGGTTAAGCAAGGCTGGGGGTGAAGGTCCTAGGGCTGCAGTGTGACCTATTTCGAGCTAGCCTCAGTGGTTTTGGTGGGTTGGACTCATGATCTGTGTGTGTGTGTGTGTGTGTGTGTGCACCATTCCTCTATAGCCAGCCTGTCCTTGTCAGGCATGAAGCCCTGGGCTCTTTGTTGGCAGGGTGGAGATAGCTTGGCCCTGTAATCTGTGACCACAGCTATTCCGGGAACCCCTGGTGCCTGTCCTCCACCCACAAGCCTTGGGCATCTGTTGTGGAACCCACTCTTAGACAGCTGTGGTCTGGCCAGGAAATGGAAGGCCTTAGGCAAGGAGTGGCTTCTGGAAAGACAGGAACCTCCGAAAAGGGCTGTGGGTCAAATGGCTGTGATGTGGTCCCTCCAGGCTGTTCTACCTTGCCCACAGACCTACAGGGAACAACAGTCCCCCAGCTGCTTGCTAAGGCTCTAAGAAGACCCCTTCACTAGGTGTTCTAGAGGGACACATCTAATCTGAAGAATGGTGAGGACACTATTTTCCCCAAGTGTTGAGAGATGTCACTGCCATGTTGCAATCCTGCTCAGACTCCTGATGCAGTTGCCGTATTTAGCAACAGCTTATAATTAGCAGCACCTGCCTATCCTGGTAGCTCATTCTCAAAAGAAAGTTCTGTTCTACCAAAAAGGCAGCAGGATCAGAGACCCTTCCAGGTAGAGTCTGGAGAAGTTCAAGGACTGGGTTCATGGGCATCCTCAAAACAGGCTTCATGCACGAGCCCCCCCTCCCCCCGCCACTTACACACACACACACACACACACACACACACACACACACACACACACACGGCCTGAGGTGTTCAGACATCTCTGTAGTCTTAAGGATGCTGAAGAATGAAAGATAAAAATATAGTGTCCCTGTCCAGTTCTGGAAACAGGTAACTCATCAGGAGTAGCATCCAAACCTCTGACCTCTGGCCATGTGCATGCTCCCAGGGGCTTCTATGGTACTTCATATAGCCTAATGCCCTCACTCTAGCAGCCTACAGTCTGGCTATGCCACCGCCCAGCCTTTCTGGATGCTCAAATCCATATTTAGGGACTGGACCGCCATCAGACTTGTGAGCCCCCAGGACTCAGCAGAACTGGCTGGCAGTGGGATGGGGGTGGCACTGAGACCAAGGAGAAGAATTGGATGGGGCTGGGTGCTCTTCCCAGAAGGCAGGCAGGCTCCTTTCCTCTTATCCCCTGTACTTGCCACTCTCCAATGGGGGAGGGGAGAGTTTGAGGGTAGGAATGACCCAAGCACACTGCCCTACCAGTGCCCACCCTTTACCCAATCCCCAGGAGGCAGAAAAGACACTGGAGGAAAATAAGTCACACAAGTGGGTTAAATGAGTCCTAGGGATACTGGCCAAACCACAGTGATCTCTCTCTCCTCGTTGCCCTTTAGCATTTGAAAATAAAGCCCTGGGCTCTAGCTGGTTTGGAGGAATGAGGAAGAGTCCCCTACAGCTGCTGCATGACCTGGACCAGGTAAGTGACTGGGATGCCCTTTTACATCCTGGATAGGAAGCTACAGTCTCCTGCATACCTCTGTCATAGTCTGTCCAGTATGGGCAACAGGGCTTCCTGTGTAGCCTGGAAGTCCAATTTTCCCAGCTCATCACCCCTCCCACCACACTCCCACCACAGGCCTGTGCTTGTTCTGTGCTATGTATTGCAGACATGAGGAAATAAAACAGCTCCATGTCTGTCCCAGGGGACCAGTGGTGAACAGGTGGTCATTATGCCATGCTTGTCCCAGGGGATAAGCAAACAGATGGCCATTAAATTATGCCTGTCCCAGGAGTTCAAATAGATGGCCATTGAGTTCCCAAATTTTAGATGTGGTACAACATGGGAATGTTCAGAGGAAACCCTACCCCAGAGCAGATGGAGCAAGTATCCCTACTGGGACTGCACACAGCCTGAGAAAGGCTCTCACACATCTAACAGCACAAGCACTCCTTGACTTAGGATGGGGTTAGCGCCCAAGGAACCCAGTTTGCTTACATATTGTTAAATCAAAATGGGACCCTTGACCATACAGGAAACTGCAGATGTAGCTGCTCTCCTAGTGATTGTGTGTGTGTGTGTGTGTGTGTGTGTGTGTGTGTGTGTGTGTGTGTGTGTGTGTGTGTGTAGTCAGACTCACTGTCCTCTCCCCCTACAGGGGAAGATCTAAGCCCATGAAAAAGTCTACATTCAAAGTTAGCAGCAGCTCTTTCTGAATGCCACCATCATAAAGTTGTTTTTTTTAAAACTAAAATCAAACAAGTATGACTACCTAAATACCACTAGGAGACCCCACACCTGGTGCATGAATTAGCACCTACTGTATGAAGCCATTCTTGTACCAGGCTTTTTTCTTTTTGAGCCAGCAACCAGCTCCCAAACCATGACACAGGGACTTGATAATTTTGAATGCTCAATCTAGCTTAGGCTTATTTCTGACTAGCTCTTTTAATTTAAATTAACCTTTTTCTCTTTATCTACCTTTCCTCTCAGGAATCATTCTCTTTTCTTACTTTCTATATATCTTATTTTCATTGCTTCTCCTATCTAGCTGGATGGCAAGTGCCTGGCTTCTTGCCAGGGCCTTGTCCCTTGTTCTATCCTCCTTTTTCTTTCTCGTTCCTCTTCTGTCTCTTCTTTCTCCTATTTATTCTCTCTGCCCAACATCCCTGCCTATCCCTCTCCTACCTAGATATTGGCCATTCAGCTTTTTATTAGACCAATCAGGTACCTTACGCAGGCAAGGCGAAACAAATACAACACATCTTTTTATAATTATACATACATCCTAACAGTTAAATGCAACATACAAATGTAACACACCTTTACACAGTTAAAGTAATACCCCACAGCATAAATAAATGCAAAGCATCTTTTCCCAGTTAAAATAATATTGCTCAACACATTCTCTTGTGCTGAGACTAAGTGGCAAATAGCTGGACCGGGTTCTGCCCTCACAAGCAGACAGCACAGCTAGGTAGGACATAGTCTGACCAGCATTTACACATTCATGAAATCAAGAGTTGTGCTCTGAGGGAATAGTGGGGACTACAGGGAACTCTCCAAGGGGATTCTGGTAGGGATGGGGAGAGAGTATTATCCAAGAGAGGGGCTTGCAATGGAACCTAAAGAGGAAAACTTGAACACCACAGTCAGAGGGAACATCTAGGCCAACAACCTTATAGAGGAGGGCAGAGAGGTTGTCTACACTGAGCCTGGGAGGTAGGCAGCATTCCATGTGCTTGCAAATCAGTGGCAAGGGGAATGGGAAGCCATGGAGGATTTTAAGCAGGGGCAATCAACAGGGGCAGCAGGGACAGAAGATTCTCTTGGACTGCTGTGTGGGGAATAGTGAGGTTATCTTCTGAACCTAGCCACACCCTTGGGTTGCAGACAAGGAAGTCCTGGTTCAAAGAATATGTCTGGCTCATTCCTGGTTGCACACTGAGTAGGTGGAGGACAGACTCTTAAGAGGTCCTAGATTCGACTAGCTGTGCAGCCTTCAGAGGGACAGATGTGTCCTCTAGAGTTTCAGGATCCAGGGACTGTTGGAGTCAAATCCTTTGAAGCCATATACCTTGACTGTGGAGACATGGCAGCAATAGAAATGTCAGGGGATGAGGACTGATCTTGTTTCATCTTATGCAAACCACAATTAATATAAAGCTACTGTTATGTCTGTTAACTGATGGGAAACTGAAGCAAAGGGCCAAGACCCTGCACCAGTCATGGAGCTCATAAAGAACTGAGTCAGCTGGGTGACTGGGAAGCTCACTGGGAGGAGCAAAAGCTGTAGTGCAGATGTGGTCCCAGCCGTTGAGTCCCTACAACCAGCCCCAAGCTTAAGAGCCAGCCTCTCTCAAAATGCCATGACCTCAGGAAGCTCACTTCTCCCATGCCTGGGTTTTGTCATCTGCTGAGGGGACCATGTTGACTGTCTTAGAATTTTCAAGTCTGTAAACAACAGCAGTGTTAACAGAAAGGCCAGCAGCCCCATGGGACAGCAGTGGCATAGTGCCCTGTCATCCTCTGATTGTTGACTGCTGTTACAGATTTGTAGCCTTATGACTGCAGGATGACTGCCGTCCTCACAGGAGAGGATCCCAGGATGGGGTGGGTGATTGAAGGTCTGGGTGTTTCCCCCCATGCCTTCTTCCTTTGTACCCCAAGGAAAAGCCTTTCCCAGGAGCAGCTGGCCAACTTCCCTACATCTCTTTGATCAGAGCCAGACCATATGCCTACCCTAGACTCATCCATTTTGTGAAGGTGTGAGGCTGCAGGCTGGTTCTTCTGAGGCTAGGCACAAGTCCCAACACAGTTTATGAGTAGGGAGGTGAGTCAAGGACTAGATGGCATTCCTCTACAAGGGTGTGCTGGGCTGTGAGGAGGTTGAGGGCAGTGTGGCCTGTGGGGCTCTGGGTGCAGCCAGGTTTCCAAGGCACTCCTGGTAGCAAGAACAGGATGGTTTCAGTCTACAGACCCTATGGCATAGCTGAACTTGGCATGGTGACAAAGAACAGTGACAGTTCAGTGCAGTTCGTGTCTCTTCAGCTAGGTTCTGATCCTTCCCAGATGGGACTGGTCCTTGTGTGGGCTCCAGGCAAGATCTAGGATATACATTGTAAGGAGTCTTTTTCTGTCCTTCTAGTCAACTCCCAAATAATGACAGGGGAACTTCTTAATTAGGAAAGCTCAGCTAGGTCCTAACTAGTTCTTATAACTTAAATTGACCCATTTATATTAATCTACATTCTATCATGTGATGTTAGCTCTCTTCCACCTTGTACTTTTTTCCTCTCCATATCTCCTGGTGTTTTGTACATACCTAGATATCTCCTCTTCCTTCCTCTCTCTGCCCAGAAGTGTTATAACTCCTACCTAGCTATTGGCCGTTCTGCTTTTTATTATACCATCGTCACACAGTGTACAAATATCCCACAACAGTGCATTTTAACTCTTCCAAAATGTCACTTTCTGGAGTTCAAGTCTGTATCTCTGCTTGTCTACTTCCCTGCTTTAGCTCTCCTTTGGAATTAACACAAGCAGGATAACTAACAAAGAACCCCCACATTACATCACCAACTCCCTCCCTTTTACTCTAAAGCCCATCCCAGCCTGTGGATTCTGGGACTCGGTCAGCATTTAAAGGAAAAGAAAAAGTGCCCCTCCACCCATCCTTTCTGAAACACTTTGTGTTCTTCCCTCCCCCATAAAACACAAAGGTCACGTCATTTAATAAATCATGGACCGCTGCAGAATACTTTTAAAAAGCCTTAGAAACACATATGTTCATGTGGGCACATACCCACATACCACCAGCATCCATGATCTCATGCCCAAAGCTGGGGATCTACCATTTCTTCCTCTACTATGGCCTCTGAGCTAAGGCCTTTAACTTCCTGAGAAATAACTCAGCATAAATTCACTATTTTGAAATGGCTGATTCAGTGGTTTTTCATATTTTACATGTGACCTCACCACTGTATAATTCCAGAACATTTGTAACACTGAGAGACTATGATCATATTATGGTTATTCCTATTCCTTCTCTTCTAGCCCGACAACCACTAATCCACTTCCTGTCTGTAGATTTACCTGTTTTGAATATCTATACAAAAGGAATCATATGACTGTTCAGTTAGTCCCAACACTCAGGAGGTCGAGACAGGAGAATAACTTGTAAGTTCCAGGACAGTCAGGGTGGCCCTGTGTCAGAGAGAGAGAGAGAGAGAGAGAGAGAGAGAGAGAGAGAGAGAGAGAGAGAGAGAGAGAGAGAGCGCCATACAATAGTTGGCCTTTTATGCCTAGCTTCTTTCACCCTGCATAAAGCTTTCAAGGCTTATCTGTGTTGTGGAATTTGTCATACTTTCATCCCACTTAATGGTGAATAATATTGTTACGGATATGACACATACTATTTATCCATTTGTCAGATAATGGACATTTAAGATGTTTCCATGTTTTTGCCAATAGGAATAATGCTGCTATGAACACACATGTACAAGTTTTTGTGTGCATATGTTTTTAGTTGTTTGGCAGCTTTGAGCTATGCTTAGGCAGGTGAGAACAGCAGTAAATGGTGCCATATGATGTTATAGCCCTTACTCAGGCCTGGAGTATCAGGAACTTTAGTCCTACTAATGTTGCTGCTCCTGTGTCAGTGCAGAAAGTCAGGGTTCCTAAACCTTTTACATGAGCCAATGTCACAGTGCTTGGGCTTGCCTTTGAGATTCGACCCTAAACACCTGGCAGGGTTCTAGAATTTTCCAGGAAACAGGGCATGCACTTTCCCCTTCTCTGGTTCTTTAAGCCTTCTATACTCTGTGGTCTTTGCCTGTTCTGGCCATTCTCTGAGTGTTCAGCTGCCAGACAGCTGGCTACCTTGCTGTGCAGTGCAGGCTGCAGCAGCAGGCGCTCTTCCTCAGCTGAGTCTCCTGCCTGCTGCCATCTCAGCCCACACTACAGAAAGTAGGCAAGAGAAGACCTTCCAGAGAAGCGTCTGATGCTGCAGCACCCAGAAAGGCTGTGATCTTTGTACAGTTTTCTCAAGGTGTCTGTAAGTGTTCAAGATGGTCTGTGATGGCATAAGGAGAGTTTGGCTATTTTCATGTCATCCTTTTAGTCAGGACGTCCAGGGAAAAAGTCCAGCAGCTGCTAATTAGGAACCCAAACGACTCATTCCCCAAATCTTTGATTATTTTCAGAAAAACAAACAGCAGAAGGATGGCACAGTTATCAACACCAAGAGTAACTTTAATAGATTTTAACAATGCCCTGCACCCTAGTGGCCTCCCTTTGTCAATCTCAAAACCATGGAGGTGGAAAGACAGTAGGGGCTAGTCTTAGATGAGGATCCTATTGAAGAATAAATTTGAAGGATTACTCTGTAAGTACAGCTTGGGTCTTTGAGTGGCTAAGGCTCCCTAAGTGGTCCACACCCTTGGTCCTCTGAATAGGACCTAATTTATGGTGCTATACTGTGATTGGAATACAGGAAGTGATAGATAAATACTGGTGGCTGGTGCCCCTTCCCCCAGAGCAAAAACAGACAAGGAAAAGATCAAGATTCCTGACAAAGCACTGAGATTAACATTTGATAGTGGGGGGCTGGAGTAAGACCACTCACTGCCCTTCTAGGGAACCCAGGTTTGATTCCTTGCATCCACATGGTGGCTCATTCCCATTTGTAGTTCCAGGGGATTCGACACCCTCTTCTGGCCTCTTTGGGCACTGCATGCACGTGGCACACCCAATGTATATGAAGGCAAAATACCCATATGTATAAAATGAAACACTAAGCTGGGGGGGGGGGGGATGATAAATCAAGGTCCAAAGAAATGTGTCCATCCATTAATACAGAATCAGAAGTCTATCTAACCGCCACACACATAAAAAACCATATCCTACAAGTATCTGAATGGCTAATGCCAAGGGAGGGCTTCAAAGCTAGCGGGGGCACAGCCATGCCGTTGTCCTTGTCAGAGTGGGTGAAGTGGGGAAGACATAAGAAGGCAGCAGGAATTAAACCCAGTAGAGGACAGAGAGTATATGTGTGCCTGTGGTTATATACTGTGCACCCTGCCCTTGACCATCCTTTATTCGGTTTACCCAGTTCTGTAAAGACTCAATCTCGGCAATCCTAGAATGCACACAGTACCCAGCACATGTAGGTCTTCTCATCCTTCCTGCCTCAGCAGTTAGACTGCGTTTCTTCCAATTCCAGGGTAGATTTTGACCCCAGACCATGCAGAGATTGGTAACACCTCTGGGGTTCCAGTTTCCTCAATCTCTCTCTCTCTCTCTCTCTCTCTCTCTCTCTCTCTCTCTCTCTCCCTCCCTCCCCTCCCTCCCTCCCTCCCTCCCTCCCTCCCTCCCTCCCTCTCTCTTTCTCTGTGTGTGTGTGTGTGTGTGTGTGTTGGGGGGGGGTGATCCCTTGCCTGAGTCCCTGGGCACATGGCATCTGTGCAGCCTTGGCCTGGAGCCTGCTGCACTCTGATGCTCCATCCTGCCCGCCTCCATCACTTTACCTCCAGGGTGGGCACTCTGTGATGGCCCAGGTACACCAGCAGCGGCGCGAGCTGCTACACCAGGCCTGCAGCCGCCACACACTACGACAGCGCCTGCTGCAGCCAGAGGACCTGCGGCACGTGCTGGTGGACGACGCACACAGACTGCTGTACTGCTACGTGCCCAAGGTGGCTTGCACCAACTGGAAGCGCACGCTGCTGGCACTGCGTGGCCGTGGGGACCCAGGCTCCATCCCTGCACACGAGGCGCACGCGCCTGGCCTGCTGCCCTCTCTGGCTGACTTTGCACCGGCAGAGGTCAACCGGAGGCTGCGCGACTACCTAGCCTTTCTCTTTGTGCGCGAGCCCTTCGAGCGACTGGCCTCCGCCTACCGCAACAAGCTGGTGCAGCCACACAGTGCGGCCTTCCAGCGGCGCTATGGCACGCGCATCGTGCGCCGCCTACGACCACACGCGCAGCCGGACGCGCTGTCCCGTGGCCACGACGTGCGCTTTGCGGAGTTCCTGGCCTACCTGCTCGACCCGCGCACACGCCGCCACGAGCCCTTCAACGAACACTGGGAGCGCGCGCACGCGCTGTGCCACCCATGCCTAGTGCGCTATGACATAGTAGGCAAGTTCGAGACGCTGGCTGATGACGCAGCATTTGTACTGGACCTGGTGGGTGAGCCTGGTCTAAGCTTCCCGGCTCCACCACGGAGGCCAGAGAAGGACCCCACTCGTGACCAGGCCCGGCGCCTCTTCCAGGACATCAGCCCCTTCTACCAGCGCCGCCTCTTTGACCTCTATAAGATGGACTTTTTTCTCTTTAACTATTCTGCCCCCTCCTACCTGAGGCTACATTAGGGTCGGTGGATGCTGAGGAGGCCTGTGACTGCTGTGACCAAGAGGCTGTCAGGAAGCCTGAAGTGAACCTGGTAGTGTGGTTTGGAGAACCATTCTAATACCTTACCCAGTGGGCCTGACCAAGATCCTGGAAACAGGCCCCACTCATACCAACTGGGTTGGGCACAGCTTGCCTCGGGTGACGGTTCTGGCCCTTTCTGCCTTTGGTTTGATCAATATCTCTTCTGCTGCACGAGGCAGGCTTCTTTCCAGGAACCCAGGTTTTTGTTTGTTTGGTGGTAGTGGTGGTTGGTTGGTTGTAAGAGGCCATTCTCGGTCATGTCTATGCAGAGCCTGTCCATGGTGCTACAAGACAGAATGCCAGGGTTTGGCTCAATGTGGTCTGATATCCTGCCCTGTGCCTTCTTCTCTTCACTCAGGCTGGCAAGCCAGAGAAAAGGCATGTCCTGCCCAGCTTGGGAGGAATGGCTGTCCCTGTCAGCAGGCACTGCTTAGGAGACAGTGTGAGCTGCTTGCTGCCACCTTGCAGTTATAGGATGGTAGAGTAGTAACATTCCGCCTCTACCTGGCAGATCTACCTTTGATCACATTGCAAAATTCCAGGTCTTCCCCTGTGTCTTCAGAGGCGAGGCAGGATGCAATATGGTGGCAGGTGTTTGTTGTGTATTTTATTTTTTTTAATAAATATGTTTTGGTACATTTTCACTTTGGAGATTTTCTCTGCCTCGTTGGGCCATTTATCTGCCAGATCTTGGGCAACTCGCCGTGTTTCTGAACCTCAGTTTCTTCTGCTGCTGAGTGGCACAAGAATGCAAGGTGGCAGGCAGATCAGAGGAAAGCGGTCATGGAACCTATGCCAGGTCCACAGTAGTCCACAGGTGGTGGTGATGGTGGCAGCAAGCGGGCGGCTGGAGTTAGAGAGCAGCCAAGAATAACCAATGGGAGAAGAAATGGTGGAGGAGACAAGGAACAGCGGAGAGGGCCAGGAGCTGTGACTGAAGGGCTGTGGGGACAGCTCGCTCACTGTAGGAGCAAATACCTGTCAACAAGTTGTGACAGCAGCAGACACCTCTACCGCTGATGCTGTTGACTCACTAGAGATGGGCGGCCTTTAAAGCTCAGGGAAATGCTCCCCCAGCCTGAGCGTGCGGAGCCCCTGGTCTCTGCTTCTACAGGGCCCATGGCTCTCAGGATTTGAGCTGAAGCCTCTGGCTGTGCCAGTCCAGCCCTGGGCCTCAGGCACTCAAGGGTTGGGACTGGCAGCACTGCATAGTTTTTCCTCATGGCCTCAGTTTTCTATCTAGGTAAAGGAGAGCCTCAGGCAACCAACTGAGAGCAGGCAAAGTCAAACCCTGTCTGTGGGGTGCAGAGGGGCCCTGGGACCTGCCTCCTCAGTCATTCACCCCTGGCCTTTGTTTGTGCTGGGTTCTCCTCACAGGAACCTGCAGGAGGCCTTCAGAGCATGTCTGTGAGCAGCCATTGGCCTGTGCAGGCCCTTGACTCTATGGATCTTGAAAGGAACTGCCCCTACTACTGATGGCTATCTTGAGTCCTTGTCCCAGGCCTGCCCTTCTCCCCACTGGAGGAATGTGTGGAGCCCAGGGGCTGGTATCTTTCCCAGCAACCCAAGACCATAACTCTGCCCTTCCAACCAAACTGTGGAGTGAGAGGCTGGGGCCTGTAGTCACACCAGCCATCACCCACTCTCTGTGCTTAGGTATATCCTGGCCCTCACTCCGTAAGGAGTTCAGCTGTTCACACCTGTTTCTGAATCACTTGCCTTGGTTACTAGCTCAACTCAGCTTCCAGGAAGCCTCTGATGGAACCTTTTAGCTGAAGCTGACACCCAACTATAATGCCACAGTCCCAGGTGTGTCACATCCAGATGTTTTGAAGTGCTGTCCTGCCACCATCACTTCCATGATTATACACTCTGATGATGGTCACACACACGTGCTCTCTAATGAGGCATCAACTATTATGCTCCATGTAGATGTTTCCTCACATGCCAACATGTCCCCATGCAGACAACACACTCTAATGCATACACACACATTTTAGTATATACAAGACAGTTCTCAGATACTTCTATAATTTAAGAATATTTCTATACCTTATAGATCATTCCAGATCAATACATAGTTGCCTCTTTCTTTTAATGGCTACCTAAGGTTGCAGGTGCAGCTATGAGCATTAGCAATGCCTACTAGCAGGTGTTTAGTTGGCTTCCCACTCTTGCTATTTTCCAACTACTAGAACAAGTGCCATTATTGTCCCAACACCTTGGCTTACATGCACATGTATCTGGATAAAGTTCTAGAAGTGTTATTTGCCCTATTTATTCTTTACTCCAAGGCCGTATGATCAAATATTATAACCATTTTAAAAACGAGAATCTAGAGGCAGATTGACTAAGCAGAAATGGGATTTAAACCTGCCAAGTTTATTGACGCTGTACGGTCTTTGGGTGTCAGGGATGGACCACCCCTGGTTTTTGGTGGCCTAGAATGCTGCTTGCATTTACAAATGTTTCTATGGCAGCTGCCTGGAGCAGAGAGAAGGTGGCTGAGAAAGGGGCCATGGAGAGTGGATGTTCTAGGGGAAACTCTCAGATGGCGCTTAAGTCTCACTGGTGTAGGGCTGGTCAGCACTGGCCTTCGGAGGAAGCAGCTTGCCAAGGTCTTGTCTGGGGAAACGAAGTCTCAGTAATTTAAGTTCCCAGTGCTTACACAGTGGGGGATGAGGAGTCTGTGAGTAGAAGCTGAATGGTGATGTGTAGTCCGGAGTTCCAACCCTAGAGAAGCCATACAGAACCACACCTGGCCCAGGGAACCTTGCAGGTTCCAACCAGCCAGGGCATACTTAGGAAGGCTCTTGAAGGATGTCTCCAGCTAGCCCCATCCCAGCCACATATGCAGCCTCTGTAGTCAATGGCTACAGCCAAAGAGGCACAGGGAGTGGCCCACACACCACTCTTGCTACCTGCTTGTCCAGCCTTGGAAATCCGAGTTAGACACAGCAGATTCAAATGCTTCTGGGGCCTCAGGGTGTACCCTGGTCCTGCCTATCCACTGGGTGAGCTATGTTGGTTGATAAGTTCAGCTAAGTCATGCACAGTTTTCTTCTGTGGTTACCATCACCTGAGACTACATCCTAGCTTCCCACCAGAGACTGTCCTCAGTCCGAGACTGGCCCCTCCCACCTGTGCCTGGCTCCTCTTACCTTCTGGCCTGAGGCTGCCTTCACAAGTCCACTAGGTGGGTCCTTGCTCTCTTCCCCCTTATGGTGCCTGCAAGTGCACTCCCCTACACCAGCTTCTTCAGGGTTCCTGTTCTTTTTTCACCTTGCTCCCTCTCCTTCCTCCATGCTCTGGGTCCCACAACTGACCTTGTTGGCTGGGCTTGCAGCAAGAAGTAGGAAGAATTTAGAGCTAGAGGACCTCATGGGGCCAGGGTTTCTCCACTTGCACCTGCTCTTCTGATCTGATGTGGTGAGCTGTACAGCTTCCATATCTATTCCCTAGCTCCAGAGCCCTGGCTGCTCCTGCTGGGGAAGAACTACTTTCTCACAGTGGCCATACTGAGGCATTGGGGTGGGGCTGGGGTGTCAGGGTTCCCTTTGCCATCTGTCCCTGAAGTCCCTCAGGATGGAGCGGCTTGTCCACCACACCTGTGTACAGGCAACGCTTGTAGCCTAGTGGTTTACGATGAAGCAATGTAGTCACGTGTCTGCTGACTCTCTGAGAGGACCTGCCCGAAGGTGACTGAGGTTTCCCTGTATAGGGCAGGGTGATGTCAATGAGACAAATGTGTCTTTGTGTGGCCATTGAGATCACCCAAAGTCAGGAACTTACCTTGGGAGGGGAATAGACCGAGTTGGCACCAGCTTCTTCTGTAAGGGCAGCTGATCCTTCAGTGAGTTGCTCTTGGCCTGCCAGGACTGTATGGATGCTGGGTTGGGCTCTGTCAACCAACATAACCTAGAAGAGCCCTTGAGTGGTTAAGTGCCTGCAGCCAGCCACCCAGAGGAGTTCACACCTGGACCTTCCTATGTGTCTGGCCTCATATTCAGTGCTTTACAAGCCCTTCATTCCACCTTTTGGCTTCCCTGAACTTGGACAGCAGGTGACGAAGGGAGAGCTAGATCTTTGACCACAACAGTGTTCCTAAGGACTAGTCCCCCCCCCCCCATCTCCACCTCCTCAGAAAATTCCAGCTTCTCAGACCTAGGAACAATATGAGGGTGGCAACAGGACTCAGACTTAGGTGTCTAGGCCTCTTGTACCTGTAAGGAAACTTCTTGAGGAGTCTCTCCTGGGCCTTGATTTTGCGTTTCTTATATCGGTGGGGCTTCTTGGGGCCTTTCGATTCCATCACAGAGGGAGTCAGGCTCTGTTCCTCTCAGCCATGGCTAGAAAACACGAGGAGGCTACTACAGCAGAGGCAACACTGAGGTCATGAGTGGCATCTGTCAAGCTCATGTGACTTCCCCACTGATAGAGAACATTGTTACTGCCTCATTTACCATGGGAAGGGAAAAAGACCAACAGCAAGCAAACTGCTTTGCTTGCATCCACCCAGGAAAAATAGGAATGCTGAGCTTCCAGAATAGCTCAATCCTAAATGACCATGTAGGTGGCAGAAGTCTCTTCCAGCCACCTGCCATCCATTTGCAGGATGGCCCTGTCAGCAGCTGCTTCCCTCTGGGATTGGGACCACTGTAGAATCCAGGGAATCTTTTAACTCCATAACACCCATTCCACACATTGCTACATCTTACAGCAGTAAGTGTAACTTCACTGACTGGTATGGGGATGTTCCCACAGGCTACTGAAGCTCACCAAGACAGCCTAGCTTAAATCTCCCATGTGACAAGGGTTAGGACTTGGATCACAAAGCCCCCAAACTGCTCCTGTCCAGGAAGGTGCAAGCAGTAGAGCTACTGTGGCCCCACAGCTGTGCTCTCCTGCCACACTCAGAAACCTTGGTCATATGGGAGGCCCAGGTCCAGGGTGTTCTGGGAGCAAGCAAACTAGCAGAGCTGCACATTGGTGCACAGGATTAAATGACACCACAGGGGTTGATGCTGGCCATAGTTCTGGGTGCCAGGCCACCCATGGAGCCATAACCCCATGGCTTAGTGCCAACAGGGTCCATGGGCCCATTGCAAGGTCGGAAGCTTCTGAGGTCACAATCAGTGACAAGGTAGCTGCTGACATCTCTCACAGCAGCTAAAGGGCAGGTGTCCCAGCCTATATAGATCTGCTAGGACATCTTATCTTGCTAAGGAAAGGGGAGAGAGAGATAGACTGAGAGAGAGAGAGAGAGAGAGAGAGAGAGAGAGAGAGAGAGAGAGGAGAGAGAGAGAGGAGAGAAGCAGAGACAGAAACAGGAGAGTTGGGGGACCTGAAGAGGGACAGGCAGCAAGATGGTTGAAAGATCTGGAGATTTTGGCAGTGCCGTCAGGAGATGCCCAAGAGTTTGGAAAGTCAAATCAGCTGTTTCTGATGACCTAACCAGGGTTGTTTAGGAACTTGAATTCTCAGCAAGCTGCTCAAATCCTTAAGCCTAGATTTAGGCTTTCTCCCTTTTCCCCTCTGGGCCAAAAGATCCATTCAGCTTCTTAGACAAGTGTCCTGAAGGGAACAGCAGAAAAGTCAGGCGAGGGCACTGAGAGTTTGAATAGAAGACGCTGGTTCTTCACTGGGACCACCTGACAATCAACAAGACTGGACTCAAAGTGGGGAGAGCCAGATGAAAACACATCTCTTACAGTCTGGTGGTTTAGACTCTCCCCAAAGGCTCATGTGCTTCAGGTATGGTCCTTAGCTGGTAGATCCAACCATGAGAGGTGATTAGATCGTGAGATCTCTGATGTAATTGAAGGGTCAACCCACTGATGAATTCATGACTTGATGGTGCCATTAGGGTTAGTGGAGACAGAAGATATACCTTGTTGGAGGAGATAGGTCACTTGGGTTAGCATTTGTGCTGGATATTTCACAGCAATAGTAACCCTAATTGAGAAAGAACTTGGTACTATGAGTGGGGTATTGCTGTGAGAGACCTGACCGTGTGTTTTGGGAAGGACTGTGGAAGAACTTTGAACTAGAAAACTATTAAGTGTTGAGAGTTCAATGGGCTATTTTGTAGGAGCTTGGAAGATAATTGTTGGGAACAGTGTAGATTATTGAGGCCTGGCATGAAGTTTCAGAGGGAAGCAAAGACTCTACATGGCCATGATTGAAGATTCTTTAGTTTCTGGGCAGCTGGGGCTTAAGCATCAGTGGTGATTTAACAAGAGATTATCACTACTGAAGTGAAACATTTGCTTTACTGGGACAACTGATGATGGTTAGCTGGAGAAATTAGCAGTGATTAAGAAAAGATCAACATCACCGAAGTGGGATCTTTTGGGAAGTATTTCCCAAGAGTCAGCACATAGAATCTGTGTTCCAGAAGTAGCCAAGGTTGTACTTTGTGCTGGCAGCTGAACTTAGTAGTGTAACTAAGGCAGTACTGTTTTAGAAGGCATGAAGGAGTCATGGGGAGCAACTATGACTCTGAATCATGAAGAGAGCCTAGGAGAGGCTATTGGTGAAATTGTAGCCCAATTGCAGTAGAAGGCCCTACCATTTCGGAGATGCCAGTTCATAGAATGACTGCCAAATATAGCAGAAGCTCTAGGGTGGTACTGGCCTGGTCTAGAAGATAAGCTGTGTGTGCTGCAGAGTATGGAGCCAGAGAAGTGACCCAAGCTCTTTGGAGGAGCCCAGGAGATCGTGATTCCCAGATTTGGACATTGTTTTAATCTGATCATGACTTGTTTCCCTTTTTGGGGATGAGTAAGAAGGGAAAAGTTGTGGCTTTATAATGATGTATTTACATGTCAATTTGACAAAAGGTCAACTTGCTGGATAGTTTCATGTCAACTTGACACAAGCTAGAATTATCTGAAGGAGTAAACTCCAACTGAGAAAAATATCTTCATATGATCTGGCTGTAGGCAAGCCTGTAGGACATTTTCTTATTTATTAATTGATGGGAATGGGCCTAGTGATTGATGTGGGTGGTGCCATCTCTGCACTGGTTGTTCTGAGTTCCATAAGAAAACAGGCCAGGTGAGCCTTGGGGATCAAGCCAGTAAGCAGCACCCCTGCATGACCTCTGCATCAGCTCCTGCCTCCAGGTTCCAGCCATGCTTGAGTTCCTGTCATGTCCTCCTTTGACGAAGAACTGTGTTGTTGAAATGTAAGCCAAATCAATTCTTTCCTCCCAAGTAGCTTTGATCATGGTGTTTCATCACAGCAATAGTAACCCTAACTAAGAGCACTAGAAGAGTTTGACTTGTCCATGGCCCCTCTTAATGCTGGTTTTCTGTTGCTGCCTTGCCATATCCTCCAAACTGCCATTGTGCCATGTTATTTCTACTAAAAGTGGAATATTAACAGAGCCAGCCAACCATGTACCAAAGCCATGAACCAAAATAAAGATTTTCCCTGCTTTGTCTTCTCTCTCTCTCTCTCTCTCTCTCTCTCTCTCTCTCTCTCTCTCTCTCTCTCTCTCTCTCTCTTTTGTCATAAAATAACCAAAAACTGAATAATGTGACTCCATCTGCCAAACTTGCTATGTATCTCTGGGCTATCAAGACGAACTTTTGTCAACTTGGCACACAAACACATCACTGTAAAGCCAGTGTGTTTCCTCGACACTAAAAATGACAGCCTATCTGCCACGTGTCTGTGAACAGTAAAGATGAGATCTGTTTAGGGGGCACTATGTGGCATTGGCCTGATATGACACTTGTCAAGGGAGTAGACTGTTTGAATAAAATGTCCCTCAGAGGCTCACGTAATTGAATGTTTGAATGATTTGGTGACTACCAGGAAATGGCACTATTTGGAAGTATTAGAAGGATTAGGAGGTGTGGCCTTGTTTGAAGTAGTATGAACTTGGGGTGGGCTTTGAGGTTTCAAAAGCTCTTGCCAGAACCAGGTTTGCACTCCGCCTGTGGATCAGTAGCTCTCACCTACTTTTCCATGCTTACTGCATGCTCCCCACCATGATGATGATTATGGCCTAAGCCCTTGAAACTGAGCAAACATCCAATTAAATGCTTTCTTTTATTAGAATCACCTTGGTCATGGTGTCTCTTCACAGCAGTAGAGTAGTGACCAAGACATGGTGTGTGACTTTATGCTCCAAGAGACAACAGGTATGGGGACAGCCGATGGCCTTGTTTACTTTATACATATTTCTTCCATCTAATGATTGAGCTCTAGAGATCTGAATGGAAGCTGCTGTGTGGAGAGCACAGTGGGACCAGATAAGCCAAGGCCAGCCAGTTCTAAGGCCCAGTGTGTCAAGTCTCATAGGCTGATACATGTCAAGAAAAGGCTCAAAGAGAAAAATGACAAGACTGTACATGCATTTTTAAATAGTCCTCTGGAAACAGCATTTTCAGCAAATGGTGCTGGTCAAACTGGATAGCTTCATATAGAATAATGCAAATAGACCAATTTTATCACCCTACACAAAACTCAAACTCCAAAAGCTCAAGAACCTCAGCATAAGGCCATATACCTTGAATCTAAAAGAGAAAGATGTGAATCATTTTGAATTCATTGGAACAGAAAAAGCATTCCTGAATAGGAAACCAATAGCTTGGGCACTAAGAACAAAAATAAATGGGACCTCATGAAACTAAAAAGCTTCTGTATGGCAAAGGACAGCATCATTAGAAAAACGAATGGTAAAAGACATTTACAAATTTATGCATCTGATATAGGGCTAATATCTAAAATATATAAAGAACTAAACACCAAAAAAACCTAATTAAAATACCATGCAGAACTAAACAGAGTTCTGAAAAGATGGAACACAGATTGCCAATTAACATCAGGGAAATGCAAGTCAGATCTACTTTAAGATTTCATCTTACACTAGTCAAGATGGTTAAGATCAATAACACAAATGTACCACCATGGAAGTTAGTGTGGTGGTTACTCAGGAAGCTAGGAGTGGACATACCTTCACCTTTACATGGTGCTGGAGGGTAGTCTACAATGCTGTCAGAGGAGAAAGCTACATGTCAGGCCAGCTACAATGGTGACCTGCCTGCATAATATGCAGGTGCAAAATGGTACAAAAGTTGTGGGAGTGACCAACCACACTATCTGATTGCATGTTAGGTCCACTCCATGACATGGAACCCATGCCTGACACTGCTCATGTGCCCAAGAACCTGAGACTAGATAGGCCATAAACACAGAGGAAAACCAAAAACGACTTTCCCACTAAAGGAACATAGCAATAGAATGACTCCTGATGGCATTCTGTATGTCCAGGATCAGTGTGTCACTCAGTCATCATTAGAGACACTGACTGCAGTAGATGGGAACAAATACAGAGACTCAGAACTGGGAAAATGCTGAAAGTGAGGAATCTTGGAGCACTCCATTCTAAATGGGATGTCTTTCTCAAACCCTTCCTCTCGGGCAGGGCTCAGGGAGCTATGAAGAAGAGGAAATGGAAAGGTTGTAAGAGTCAAGAGGGATGGAAGACACCAAGCAAACAATGTTTTCTAGACATAGCAGGACTAATGCACACATGAACTCACAGGGACTGTGGCAGCACAGGTCCAAGCCAGATGGGGCCTCAGTGCTGAGAGAAGTAGACACAAACTCCCATCCCTAACCAGTGGCAGCTGCTCACAAAGGGAAATTAGTTTTCGCCAACAAATTTTACTGTGTATACAAACTACACTTAAGGGAGGCCCAATGCCCATCAGTAGATGGCCAACACAACACAAATTCAATTCAATGGTACTTTTGGAGATTTTTTTTCTTTGTCTCATAATGCTTTGGGTAGTTTGTGTGTGTGTGTGTGTGTGTGTGTGTGTGTGGTTGTTTGTTTTTTTTTTACCCTTACTGGTCTTTTGCTGTGGAATATTAACTAGGCAAAGATGAGTTACATTTGTTTATGCTGCAGAATATTATTTTAACTGAATAAAGGTGCGTTTTGTTTATGCCACATTTGTTTAATTATGTGTTACATTTGTTTCACTTTGCCTATTTAAGGCTCCTGATTGGTCTAATAAAAAGCTGAATGGTCAATAGCAAGACAGGAAAAGGATAGGCCGGGCTGTCAAACAGTTGTTCATTTAAAGATGGGGCCAAGGTGTACTGGTTCATTTAAAGATGGGGCCAAGGTGTACTGAATCCTCCTTATTGCCTAGAGACTATCAGTCAAGAAACTCTTGACTTTAAATCACCTAAAAACAAACCAAACCCCCCAAACCCCAGTCTAGGCCTCTTTCAGTGTGGAAGAGTGGTCTTCAGGCTTAAAGGGATACACATCTCAATGGCTTGGAAGGGGTCTGCTTGCTCCCCTCTTCAGAGGGTTGGGGGTGTGGCTTAACTCATCGTTTCTGCTTATATTTGTTTATGACCCTTTGCTTTATTTGCCATTCACCTAATTTTTTTCGAAATTGCCAGAAATGAAAAGAAAATAAAGGATATCTAAGCAAATGGGGTAATGCCTGTGAGCAGCAGGACCGCTAAAATGTTTTCCTATATGCTGTGCAGGAGGCAGGAGATTCTGGATCTTCCTGACAGCATTCAGGTGAAATTTCCTTATTGATTTCCAAGAACCTCTGTGCATCTGTGTGGCTTGGGAGTTCATCAGTGAGCTGCCCAGCAAATAGGATTTCAA